ATGGCGATATTTCTGTGGTCCTCAAGGCCAGAGATTCTAGACTAAGCAAAAAACTAGCAATCCCAGACTTCGTTATCGCATTCGGCATTTACAGGGACGTACTGTACACAGTTTACCTACAGAGAAGGGAAGAGTTAGACCTGTACATGCACAAGCTGGAAGACCTGGGCAACAGCTCTCGCCCAGTGTAACGCAAGAATGGATTGGAGCCTAATGGATACAGAGCTGTTCCTCAGGCACTTTGCCGGGCTAAGGTCTCCAGCATGTGCAATATGTGTGGCTACCAGGCACGCTGCAAATCTCTGTCCTGTTTCCACAGACGATGCCCCAAACAATGCCACACCAAGCAATTCCAGGGGGGAGAAACAGGACAGAGACAAGCTGGGTCACCCTAACGTGTATTTGGGCAAGTCACAGATATGTAATAATTTTAATGTTGGGGCTTGCTCCTATAGTGCTTGCCGTCTGTTGCATATCTGCTCCCATTGTTTCAATAAAATGCATGTTAAACCCTACCTGACTACCTTTAATATTGATGTTCTGGCAGGGCTTCTCTCCAAGCACCCTTCTACACATCTTGTGGAGTATTTGATTGCAGGGTTTTCCCAAGGGTTTCATATTGGCATACCAGGGGGTACATGGGAAGCCAATAACCTCCAGTCCACCCTTTGTGACACAAATGCAGTAGACTACCTACTACAAACAAGACCAAGGATTTGTCTTAGGTCCATTTATTGACCCTGCATTCTCTAAATGGAGAACAAATCCCATTGAACTGGTCACTGGGAAAACATCTAACAAACAGAGACTCATTATAGACCTGTCCGCACCACATGCTTCGGTGACACCCAGCCTAAATTCCCTGATCCCGTCAGAGGCATTTTCTTTACAATACACCACCATAGATGACGTCATATCCACCATCATCTCAGCAGGCGTAGGCACCTGGTTGAGCAAAACAGACATAATTAACGCCTTTAAGCTACTCCCCATACACCCGTCGCTGTGGCATTTGCATGGTATCAATGGTATTTTAGCAGTCCTAAAATATTTGACACTTTGGCAGAGACCTTGTGCTGACTGCTACTGAATACCAGCAGGTGCCATAGCTTCATTCATTACTTGGATGACTTCCTTTTCATAGAAAATAACTCTACCCCCCCTAACAGTCTGCACAAAGCCATACACTTATTTAACACCATAGGGTTTCCAGTCTCTCCCACCAAGACAAAAGGTCCAGATACGATCATTCAGTTTTGGGGGATACAACTGGACTTATACCCCAAGGAAGAGCATTCATTTCCAGACTCCTGTGCCTTCTTCTGACACTAACTGACAAGCACAAACGTACCACTCTTGATCTGCATGACACCGCAGACTTACACATGTGGAACGTGTTCCTGTCAAACTGGAATAGCAGGAGCATGTTTCTCCCCCAAGTCACAGAGGATTCCCCTACAATTTGGACCGACGCAGCAGCCTCCACAGGTTTTGCAGCCATTTTTGGGGACAACTGGCTATGGGGTAGATGGCCGGAAGAATCAAGTTGAAGGCTTTTTAGGAATTCTGCACTCTTTGAAGTGTACCCCATAGTGGCAGCAGCAGTCACATAGGGACAGTCTTGGGCAGGTAGACCAGTTCGATGTTTTTCTGACAACTTGGCGATTTGCCACGTCATAAACAAAGGCCGGTCTACCTCTCTAACCATCATGAGTTTTATCAGACATCTTACGTGGTTGGCGGCCTGTCATCAGTTTCATAAGGTATGTTACCATGTACCAGGTATATATAATACAGCCGCTGACCAGTTGTCCCGCTTTCAATTTCAGGCGTTTAGGGAGTCTCTACCAACAGCGTCACCGGTAGCCACAATCGCCCCCCCAACTCCAGGATCTAATCATGGACTAGAGGAATTATTACAACACAGCAAGATACTTACAAAACTCGCTCTCGCTAAAAACACACATAGCGCATACGACAGAGCTTATTACCCATACAAGAAACTCATGGCAGGCCATCATCTCACGAATTGTTTTGACAATGTAACTTTGGTGGCTTTTGCTATGTTTTGCCACATTAAGTTAAAAATGTTGCATAATACCACTAAACTATACCTCACGGGTATCCAACATCATATGTTAAAAGAACATCCTAACAACCAAGGGTTTCTTACCTCCTACCCCATTAAAACCCTCGTTAGGGGTATGCTAAAATCGCAAGGACCTACACCGCAACGTAGGTGGCCTATAGACATACAACTGTTTAAACATTTGTCAAACCTACTAGATACCATACCGTTCGAACCCCTTACTAACACCACTCTAAAACCTACCTTATACTTGGCTTTTTACAGTTTCTTACGACCCAGAGAATTTACCATTACTTTGCAACACGAGTCCAAGCATTGCGTCCGGTATTCTAACTTGTACAAAAAGCAGGACCACTACATATTAAGTTTACCTTCAACTAAGACCAGCAAGATGGGGCACGAGGTTCTTATTCAATACTACCCCACCAACAACGCATGGTACCCGGTGAAAGTTTTTAACAACTATCTACAGTCATCACCTACACGAACATCACTCCCTCTCCTTTCACTGCACGGCACAGCACTTACTACCGCCAAATTACTGCTTACTATTGACCAGACTTGGCTTAAATGCTACAAACTATTCTGGGCATTCATTCTGGGTAGAAGCAGCCTCCATGGCCTCAGGCCTAGACATCCCGGTTCACATCATAAAAACCTTGGGCCTCTGGAAGTCATTTGCTTACGCTGTTTACATACCACAGCCAACACAAGAATTAAGGCATGCGTTCGTGAAAATGTCATCGTAAATATGCTAACTCTATGTCTTGTGTTTTCGTTAATAAATATCTTTGATAACACTATATGGGTATTCCTTTTTTGCCCTCTTATTTACAGGCCTACCACACACGTCGGTTTCGGCACACCTCTACTGACTTTTAATTATTATGATAAGGATACTCACTAGCTATTTCATACTATACTGAAATGGCCCCGAATACATATTGGAAGGCAGGGCCTAAAGTTGTGGGAGGGGATATATCCCTTTAAAAGGGACTCCCCCTCCTACCTCACTCACCTTCTGGTCCAGATGCTCGTTTGGCCCACCCTCCTCTCCCTCTATTCAAATACTATTTAAGGTGGGCCCTCTTATTTACAGGGCAACCACACACTTCAGTTTCGGCACACCTCTACTGACTTTTAATTATTATGATAAGTATACTCACTAGCTATTTCATACTATACTGAAATGGCCCCGAATACAAATACAATATATATAGTTATTATATATATATATATATATATATATATATATGTGTGTAATTTAATTATAAGTGTATTTTTATATTAATATATATATTAATATGAAAATACACCTAGTATGATATGATATATATATATAAAAAGATGATGGCTTGGCACTCTCCTTAAAAAAGAAAACCAATATACTACTTGCCTGGGTGCAAATCTTAAGCATCAATAATATAAGAAAAAGATTCAAGATGCACTCACAGGTCTTCAAATATAAGGAAAAAACTGGTGCTTTATTAATCCATATGTGATATACAACGAAAATCAAACGACGTTTCGACCCTGCCGGGTCAAGACCCGGCAGGGTCGAAACGTCGATTGATTTTCGTTGTATATCACATATATATATATATATATATATATATATATATATATATATATATATATACACATATATATATATATATATATATATATATATATACACATATACACACATACATATAGTAATTTTTTTTATTAACATAAACCTTTATTTTTTTATTTTACACTAGCAGGGAGACTGCCTGTCAGCACAGGCAGTCCCCCTGCAGGCAGACACTAGGACACCTATTGTGACCATGTGATCGCTCTGTTTAGCGATCACATGGCCCCAGGAGTCCTAATCAGCCATGGGAAGACTACCTGGGCTGCAGGCAGTCTCCCCACACCGGGAGCAATGCTGATCGCCGCCGGGGGAACTATGGTGATCGGGTAAGTACATCTGATCGTTGTGACGGTTCAGGACCGTCAGTGGTCGGCAACGCAAAAATGCCGATGACGGTCCTGAACCGTCACCGGTCCTTAAGGGGTTAATTTATCGAACAACTCAGTAATTAAATGAATAGGGTAAGCATTTTCTTATTGTGATCTTGTTTAGTCTAATATAGTCAATAAGGGCCAAGGGTACGAGAACTATAGGGTTTATGAGGTGGTAACTTGTCTGCCTCATTTTTTAAATCAAAAACATAACTGAGGTGTAAGTAAGGAGGCAATATTTCTGTACACAATGATGAAGCATTGGGAACATTGATAGAACACAAAAGTTATCCTATTATAGAGTACTCCATAAGATAATTTGTCCCTGTTTCCAATCAATAATGGGATTATGTAACCATAACCATGGAATGGTGAAAGCCACTTTGCCACTGGGGTTTGGAGGGAACCACTTGCCAGCCTCTTAAATCACTGTTCGTGCCTTTTTGGATTTTTATGTCCACAGTTCGAACTTTCAAAGTGGCACTTCAAACTACTGAACAGTCGAAGTGACCGCCATTTGACATTTGAACACGTGGTGGCGGCCATCTTGTTCGCATGGACCAAAACCGAAAATAGACGTCAGAGGGACTTATCCCTGAATGCCCTGGAACTATTTTCGGCATGAAAACTTTGTGGTCCTCCAGCGGCACTTAGCCGTGATTCTATGGAACTGTTTTGGGCATGGGTCCATGCCTGTGCCTGGGCAAAACTATAACTTCCATAAAATTTCTGATCCACTGATCTGATCTGGGTGATTTTTGGATATGTTGTTCACCCAGATCAGGGCTATCATTTATGGGGACACATATATTTTGTGTTTTGAGGTACTTATGGGACTTTATAATAAATGTGTGTTTTTCTGCCTGGAGATAATTGAGTTACATACAGTACTTCATTCAATTATCTCACAGGCAGAGGGGAGGGATTGTATGTGTGTTATGGGAGTATCGTACAGTTAATTACTGTTCTTATTGGTTTATTCCCTTTGTGTCCCTGTGCCCAACAAGGTTCACCTGGGGGCCATCCTTGTTGGAAAACTTGCAAAAAAGGCCAGTGTGCCTCCATTAAAATTGAGTTTCTGCTTAACCCTCAACACGTAGCTTGGTCTTGTGATTGGAGGGGAACTGCTATATTCACACTGGGAATTGCTATACTCCTTATACTCCCCTGGGTTCTAATCACTAGCTCTTGTAAGAGCTGTTCCAGCCACGCTCTTTGAAGTATGAGAGGTCTTTCCCACACGGTCCTGGATATCCGAGGTTGGTCCAGGGTGGGAGGAAGATGACGAGATCCCAGCTAAGCTACAGCGGTTGTGGAGTCTGCGGTGCTTAAGGTGTCCGGTGCGGTGCTTACGGTCCTCAGCGTCAGCTAGGAAGCATCTGTTGGTAGAGGTGCCCAGTCGGGGTGCCAGGTGATCCATTACACATGGAAAACTCTAAACTATTGGAGAAGGAGATAAAATAACCTCTCTCAACCTCTCTGCATGCAATAAACCAAAACGTATATTAAAAAACTTGGTCTCATGTGTTCTAATAAGGGTCTACTATCTATAGCCTCAACGACCATGGGTGCCTCCTTCTCTCTTAAGGGTAGTGTATGATACTTAACAAAGCCTTTGTCTATGAAGTTATGGAGCTAAACACATGAAAGGTACCAACAGGGCAATGAGCAAGAGGAGACCTGGCTTTAAATACCCCTCCTGTGGATCCGATTGGCTGTAAGCGGCCTTTGACCCCAAAGGCAATTACAGATTTACATGTGCTTGATTGCTGCTCAGCACAAAACCCTCCTGTGGATTTGATTGGCCATGGCCGGCCTTTGACCCCAAAAGTAATTACCAGGTTTCCATGAGCATGATTGCTGCTCGGCACAACTTTTCCTGTCAGGACAGTGATGTTGCTCGGCACAACTTTTCAAGCGATTGCAAACAAGCGGTTTCAGGAAGGACACATGACAAATATTAGGTATACGTAAGGACGGTGGAAGGGCCAGAGAATAAGAAACAGGGTTGATTCTCCTAACCACACGAAAAGGACCTCGGAGCAAACATCACGCTGGGAACCTTCAACCTAATGTTGTGTGATGATATCCAAATTTGATCACCCACCTGATAAACTGGAGGTTTGTTGCAAGGTGCCTGGGGCTGAGCCGCCTTGATAGCACGGAGTAAAGGGGACGATAAAGAAAGGACAGTGGATGCAATAATACACTCAGGAGAAATAATAGGGGATGCCTCTTGTTCTAGATCCGATACAACGTCAAATTGCCTAGACAAGGTGTCTGTAGGTGATAATGAAGTTAAAGCGAGACAAAAATAATGACCGTCTAGCTTGTCTGGAAGACAGTCGTTTGGCATCTCCAATATATGCCAGGTTCTTGTGATCAGTAATAATCAGAATGGGATCCTTGGAACCCTCCAAAAGATGTCGCCATTCCTTATGCGCTAGTATGATGGCTAGTAGTTCATAATGTCATAGTTACCCTCGGCAGGTGACATCTTTCTGGAGAAGTAACCACAAGAATGCAAAGGGACATCCTGACTCTCTCTCTGAAAAAGAACAGCCACGACCCCTGTCTCGGAGGCGTCAACCACAAGTAGGAAAGATTTACTAGTGTCAGGATGTCTTAATATGTCAGCAGATGTGAACATTTGTTTAAAAAGCTCAAAAGCCTCTTTAGCTTTGAAAGGATATGAAGTAGTTAACTCGCTCGACCTCAGGATGTTCCTGTTCTTTCTTTATTCAAATGCTTATCTTTTACTGCTACAGAAGTATGTACTGTTAACTATAAGGAAGCGATAAATCTCGCTGCTTGCGTGACAAACTGTGTATAAATGCTAGCCCTGAAAATACACTTGTGACAGATCCATCTGTATAGACTGGGATTGCTGGTTCGTCTGTTTTGCCTTTTCGTGGAATTACCCGTTCGTATGCCCCTGTTCAGTGAATTGACTTTTCCGACGAACAAAACTACCGAACGGATGGCTACCCAGAAGAGAAGTGTGCTGCTGGTTAACCTCTTGATCCCAATTAGAACATTGTGGTTAACCGCAGACACTTCTCAATTAAACCCGAATACAGGGTGGTCGTCGTTCGTATGTCGACCACGAGGCGTTGGCCATTTTAAACCATGCGAAAGACCAGTGGTGTTCGGCATTGATTTCATGGAACTGAAAACGGACACTTTTTCTGCTGAACACCACTAAAGCCGCCGACCTCCCTTCTCAATCGACAGAAGTATATACGAACACCGGCCGTTCGGGAGTTTTAAACGCACAAATGGACTTACCCAAGATAGCCTTCCCATGGAGTCAATCACATACCGAAAGACTGTAATAGACTTTGATTCCATGGCGATTGAACTATGCGTATGGGATCTGAGCGCTATTTACCAATAATATGCACTCAGATCCAGGCTATCTGGGGATATGTGATACGAATGGGTAACATTCGACAAATGTAAAGTTATATATATTTGTATGTGTTTTTCTGTTTTGAATTTAAAATGGCGATTTGCCTCTGTCCTGGAGATAATTGAATTACTTCTCAATTATCTCCAGGGCAGAGGGGAGGAAATACTAATGCATGTTGGGAATATTTTGTGTCTGTGGGTCCTAACCTGCCATATGTCTGTCTATTGTTACAGTCTCCCATTTGGTCCCCTAGGTGAGTGTCCACCAAGTGGGAGACCTGCATAAATACAGGCAGGTAGCCCACAGTAAAGCCAGTTCATGTTTTACCCTCAATGCGGAGCTTGGTCTCGTTATTGGGGGGATTTATTACCGACGACTAGAGACTGCTGGATGGGATTATTAGCCGCTCGGGAGATATATGCATTCGGCTACTATTGGCGATTCGTGAGTTTGGAGCTTGTGAAGTGAAGTGCCCGTACGGATCCCGTTCATGAGTTTACAGCGTTCCCCTGCTTGCAGTTCGTATGATTGTACTTGATACGCATGCAGCCTATGTAATTGCGAGAGGGGAGGATTCACTAAATGGCAGTTTGTGCATTTCATGCTTAGGGTACCGTAACAACTGGTGGCAGCGGTGGGATGACCCTCATCACCCAGAGAGACCACTACAGCCAGGATTAATGGAAATACAATACGAAAGGCTGAAAAGAGCTACCCTAAAAGATTTATTGGAGCAGAGAGGCGGACAAGCCAGTAATCTCAGGAAAAGGGAGATTATTACAATATTAAACAAAATGGAGTACCAGGGGCTGAAGGAACCAATGGGCCCAGCACAGCTGACAGAACCCCCGAGGAGGCAAGCTTTGACCGGGCGGTAAGAATCAGGCTGGCCCAACCCGACTATAGAGACCATTGACCAGGTCATAGCCGCTGTGGAGGCCAACCTGCTTCACCAAAGCGGTGCTGCAGCAGCCCCAGCAAACCTGGTGGAGAAAAGGAAAGTACCATTTACAGCATTTAAACCGTTTGTGGAGACAGAAGGAGAGACTGATGGGTACCTTGCTGATTTTGAGCGGCAATGTGCCCTACACAAGGTACCCCCAGAGGACTGGGTCACTATATTATCAGGCAAGTTATCCGGCCAGGCCAGTGATGCTTTTCGGGCCATTCCAGATGAGGAGATCGGGGATTATGTAGCAGTGAAGGAAGCTTTGCTCTCCAGATATGTCGTTACACCGGAGGCATACAGGAGGCGGTTCAGAGACACTGCCAAATTATCTGGGGATTCGTATGTTGAATGGGCATGTAAGGTGCACCGCACAGCTGCCCACTGGATGGCAGGGTGCCAAGCCGTATCCGGGGAAGAAGTGCTGCAGATGTTCTTACTGGAGCACTGTTTTGAGAAATTATCCCCAGGCGTCAGAGAGTGGGTAAGGGACCGTAAACCCTCCACTCTACATGAAGCAGCTCGCCTGGCAGACGAGTACACGGATGCCCGTAAACTGGACGGTACCATGGGTAAACCTCCTGCCAGAGTAGAGTAACGCCCAGCAGCACCCGCTCCAGCTACCATCTACCAACCACCGATGCACCGACAATCCGCACCCCCTCCAGCTAATAACTATTACCAGCCACCCCGGTTCAAATCCCGGGACTACTCTCAACCTATCCGTTGTTTTGGTTGCAAGCAGCTGGGGCACAAACGACCGGAGTGCCCGCTGAATAACGCTAATCAGAACCAGTCCTGGAGGAGACCGACCAGCGGGAACCAACGACCCCTCAGCCTGCTGCCCACTGCGTGGAGGAGGAGGAATGTTGGGGCGTCCTACATCAGGCCGACCCTGTTAAAGCTGCCCACCGCGATAACCGCCAACAGCACCGGCAACTAGTTAAAGTAAACGGGAATGAAGTCAGTGGTCTGCGGGATACCGTGGCGACCATGACATTGCTCCAAAAACACTTGTGCCAGAGAATCAGCACACTGGGAACACTGTGGCTGTGAGAGTAGCCGGAGGCGCTGTGTTTCGCCTACCCGTTGCCTGGGTACATTTGGATTGGGGAGTGGGCGCCAGACATGTGAATGTAGGGTTCATGAGGGACTTACTAGCTGATATCCTCCTTGGAAATGATTTGGCCCCACTTGTTTCTGCCTACGCTCCCATGGGTCCCGCTGAAGTGAACGCTGTCACGACCTGTTCCGCCGAGACCGGCCCACCTGCTGCTGAGACCCAGGTAAATCTCTCTACCCCGACTTGTACATTAGACCAGGCCCGTTTAGGCTGGGACACCCCAGAGATGTACGGGAGGGAGACCCGGGAGGACCAGACCCTAGAGAAGTATAGGGCCAGGGCAGATACTGGGGAAGAGGGGTGTGACGAGAGCAATCTCGCCACATTGCATTGGAGAAGCCTGGTTGCTCGCCTGTTGCCGTTGGACTATTTTCCCCTGCAGAAAAGGCTTATTTAACCGGATGCCTGTTCATTCGGTAGTTTAAACCATATGAACTGCATTACCCCAGATAGCCATCCCGTATAGTCTATTCGGATGGAGAACAGACTTTGTGAACACTTTAACTCCACGGCGATTGGACTGTGTGCATAGGATCTGAGCGCTACTCGGTACTTTTGTGCGCTTAGATCTAAGCTATCTGGGGATAGGTAGAATGTATATGTTTTGTGCAACAGTTGTAACTTTATAAATTTTTATGTCTTTTACTGTCTTTTACTGCCA